TTGGATTTCTGGTTCATCGGAGAGATAAAGTGGCGAAACTTGTTCTTCTTGCCTATTGAGGGAGAAAACAACTTGAATGGGAAAGTTGTGGACTACTATAAGTTGTACGAGTATCCTCCCAAGGTGGCGGGGGTAGACTCCGTATGATAAGCGCTAAATGTGAAGTTCAATAAAAATACCGATAGAGATAATGTATGATCTTTGATAGAATAGAGCACCTTACGTATGGGTGATATTAGAAGCACTTTTCAAAGTCATAGCTTGGGGTTTGTAGCACCGGAACATCAGTCCGTCTGCCTCGAGCTGGCCCCGAGACAGAACAGAATGTAACATCTTCACCCTAACAGCAAAGCTGTTACAAGCCTTGGACAGCACCAGTCACACAAAGCTATGTAGAACATTAGTCAATACTAGCCTTTAAGTGAAAACCAGGTGCATAGTCTTACTAAGCTCATTACTTCATTTTCATTCAAGCTTATAGTCTACCATGTAGCGTCGACACTGCACAACATAAGTTAACTATAGTCACCCACCATAGCTAAAGCTATTAGTGAAGTAACTTGTCAGACAGCCACTTGTGCCCACCCCCAACTAAGACTCCCGAGAGAGCATTTAGAAGAGGGTCAAGATCATCGCTCCTTTCGAAAACGCGCTGCACAAGGCATTGCGATAAAGTGAAAGGCAAACAAATTGTAGATGACCAGACCGCAAAGGATCGTGGACAAGCTAAATCTATTCTCACTTTGAGGGCACAAGGGTATCTCACTCATCAACCAAGTTGGATTCAGTGGCTCTTTAGAAGAGTCAAAGTGGGACGTGACCTATAGAAATGATCCTATGAAGTACGTCGACAGAGAAAAAAAAAAAAAACCAGTAAAGGTGGCGACGATCAACCTTCTTAAATAGTTTGCGATGGCTTTTGCGGGTAACTACCTGCATAGACATGCCAAACAGGGTTCTATCCAAACATCCGTACACTCTAGGTCTTTGCCTTGCACCCCACACTACTCTTGTACTCTATGTTCAGACTCCCGAATAGTGTTTTTGGGAAGGTTCCATGTCCCGAATTAGAAGAATGTGGGCATTGCTCAGTAGTGAATTGCATTTTTGATCATAGCTTCACAAACAAGAAGAGAAAGCAACTGGAACCTGGTGTCCAGGACACAAAAAGGACCAGATCAGACAATATAGACAAAGCTACACCAAAAGAGTCCGAGCCAGAAAAAGATGTGCAGATTCTCTTGCCTAAAGCGTTGATATCTTCTGTGGTGATCCCTCGAATAGAGCGTATTAGCAATCTCAGGACGATTGCGAAATACACACATCAGCTTTCCAGCGCAACGCCGAACAAGCTAGCCATTGAAAAAGAACACGAGTTGGCATGCAGCAGCAAGAATGCCGACGAGTATACAAGCAAGGTTCTAGACTTTCTTGGGCTCTCTTCCTCAAAGAAACCGAAAGAAGACCCCAAGCACATTATCCCATTGAACGTAAACCCGTCTCCGGCCATTCTTCCAACCCGAAGAAAATTCATCGAACACATTGCCCATGCGATCCGACGCACACAGCCCGAGAATCGGTTTCCTGTTTGGACAGCTACAGAAGAGGAGTTTAAGGTTGCTAGCACGAGCTCATCTACCACATACAGCACTAACATACGGCGCAGGCTTTTCGAAATTAACCACCCTGAAAAAGTAAAGAAGGCTGTCGTTAAGCAACCAGGCAAGCAGGAGTATTTGCGTGAACTCCAAGCACTCTGTATATCGCCCGAAAAATTGGCAAAATTTGGATACATCATGGACTTTCCTCCACGTATTGAAGAACCCACGCAGGAGCGGACTTGTCACCGTTGCAAACTGGAGTTTAAGCTACACGATGCCACGAAAAAAGTTGACTGTCGTTACCACAGCGGTAAAATAGTGAAAACGGATGCGGGGGTCCGGATTTACCTGTGTTGTGGGGGTGTCTTAGGAGCTACCGATACGGAGCCTTGCGAAAGATCAGATTATCATGTTTTTTACTGGAACAATCCTGAGGAAATGCATCATGCAATCCCCTTTGTCAAAACTACAAATTTGTGGGGAACGAGGAAGGGAAGTTTGGAGGCTGTCGGAATAGATTGCGAGATGGGATTTACCAGCCAAGGTTTCGAGCTACTTCGAATAACGGCAATCGATTTCTTTTCAGGCGAGGAAGCGTTCGACATTTTAGTTAAACCAAAGGGAGAAGTCTTAGACTTGAACACACGCTGGTCGGGGGTTGCAGAAATCAAAGAAGAGGCACTCTCCTTCGAAGACTCTATGGCTTTGCTTGGAGAAGTAATTGACGCAAATACTGTGATGATAGGTCATGGATTGGAAAATGACATGAACGCTATGCGACTTATTCACACAAAGATTGTCGACACGGCGATTTTATATCCAAAACATAAGGCAACGCCAACTTTCAGGTATTCTTTGAAACAGCTAGCTTTTCAGTACCTTGGGAGAAATATCCAAAGTGGACAGCACGACAGTGGAGAAGATTCTCTTGCAGCAATTGATGTTACGAAGCACTTTATCGAGCAGGAACTCGACAGGCGGAATAAGGCCACTGCATGAGAAGGAGAGTAACAAAAAATTCGAGACACGAGGATAAATACAAATAGAATATACTAGAATAAGAGAAAGAAAGCAAAAGAAGTAATTCGAGGGATTTATATCTATAGAGGTCAAATGCCTGTTCTCACCATTCGTTGCCATATGCACATTGTTGATGTATAGGGAACAAGCTAGCAAAATCGATAGATACATAGAAAACCGGCTAATTGTGCCAGTTTCTAAACGTAAATACATCTCATGGTGCATTTCAAACATTGCTACAGTCATCAGCCACTATCTAAACCTGCCTTCCTTTAATCTGCACTATTTTTGTCTTGCAAGTCTACACCGCGTCAGTACTTTGGTGCACAGGTGCTTTGTAACGCGCAACCGCGTTCTTGATATCGCGTCTGTTTCTTGCCATCTCTTCTTCTTCCACCACACCATGGTCACGCCCAATAAAAAGAAAGCTCTAAAACCAACGGGAAGCTCTTCGAAAAAGAAGCAGCTGTCCTTGATGTCCTTTTTTAAGACTGCACCAAACCCTTCGCAAAGCTCACCTCTTAAATCCAAGTCGGGTCATCCCGAAAGCGATAAGGAGAATGATTCCACGTTGATGTCAAGCGTTACAGACACACCACTCACATCTGAGACAAATGAGGAATACCGCAAAGACCTCCGCTCCTCACCAGTGAAAGCACCAAAGGAATCTGTTGAGCGTAGCACAAATACACTGGGGAGCCAGAATCCCCCCTCCCTGGAAGTTGATGGAAGACCTGAAGATCAAGAAAAGGCTGAGGATGAAGATAAACTTACAAGTAAAGATAACAGTGCTCCAATAAAGATACACAAAGACGGCTTCAAAGCCAAGGAAGCTTCTAAAGTGGAGGAAGCAGTTAAAAAGGAACCACTGAGTACCACTCCTCCTCGCCGGAGAAAATTGCTTTCCTATGCCGAGTCTGATGTGTCTGATGACGAAGATGTGTCAACAAAAAGAAAAAGAAGAAGAGTCGTCGAGAGCGATGACGAGGAAGACGAATTCAAACCTGTTGATGATGTAGAAGACGATGATATGAGTGATTTTGTCGTGGAAAGTGAGGAAAGCGCAGTGGAGTCTGAACCAGACGATGATGAAGATGATAAGGTTGAATCGAACCGCGTGAAAAAGAAGTCAAGCCCACCGAGAGAAAAGTCTAGGGACTCTAAAAGTACGTCAACCAACTTGGGGGCAAAGTTTGTCGCCACGTCCTCCTACGTTTCCACAGCTTCAACTAAACCTACACAAAAGCCAAAGGCCAATAAGAAATCGTTTGAAAAGGAAAACGAAGAGCGCTACCAATGGCTAGTAAACATCAAAGATGCCGAAAAACGCTCCCCTGACGATCCTAACTATGATCCAAGAACTTTGTATATCCCATCCTCTGCATGGACAAAGTTTACTGCTTTTGAGAAGCAGTACTGGGAGATCAAAGGTAAGATGTGGGATACTGTTGTTTTCTTTAAAAAAGGAAAGTTCTATGAACTTTACGAGAATGATGCCACTATTGCAAATACGGAGTTCGACCTCAAAATCGCTGGTGGGGGCCGTGCTAACATGAAACTTGCTGGTATTCCTGAGATGTCTTTCGAATATTGGGCAAAAGAGTTCATTAGCCATGGATACAAGGTTGCAAAAGTGGATCAGGTTGAATCCCTATTGGCCAAGGAAATGAGAGGAGGTGGGTCCAAAGAAGAAAAAATCATTAGAAGAGAATTGACTGGTGTTCTAACTGGTGGAACTTTGACTGACTTAGACATGATTTCCGATGACATGGCTACCTATTGTTTAGCGATAAAGGAATCCACCACACAAGAAGGTGAAAAGGTTTTTGGGGCCTGTTTTGTGGACACAGCAACGTCAGAGATGAATTTCATTGAACTAGTTGATGATGACGAATGCACAAAGCTTGACACACTAATCACCCAAATTAAACCGAAGGAAATCTTATGCGAGAAGAACAATTTGTGCTCTACTGCAACTAAAATCATAAAATTCAACGCCCACAACTCGCATCAGATCTGGAACAACCTCAATCCTTATTCCGAATTCTGGGATTACGACACTGCAGTAGAAAACTTGGTGAAAGGAAAATATTACGAAGCAGAAGACCTTGATGACTATGCAAAGTATCCACCGGTTCTTCTCAAGTACAAAGACAATCACCCAGTCGCATTTAATGCCTTTGGTGCTTTATTGTACTATTTGCGTACATTGAAGTTAGATGAGAGCATAATGAGTTTGGGAAACATCAAGGAGTACCATATTTCTAAAAATTCCTCAAAGCATATGCTTTTGGATGGTATCACTTTGACTAATTTAGAGATGTTCAATAATAACTTCGACGGAGGTGATAGAGGAACCTTGTTCAAATTAGTGAACCGTGCGATTACTCCTTTTGGCAAAAGAACACTCAAGAATTGGACTTTACACCCATTGATGCAGATTGATGATATCAATGCACGGTATGATGCTATTGATTTCCTAATGAACGATGAGCCTGAGTTGAGAGTCGAGATGGAATCATCACTTTCGAGCTTGTCTGATTTGGAAAGATTGATCGCTAGGGTGCATAGCAAAACGCTAAAGTTCAAAGATTTTTTGAAGGTGTTAGAGGGCTTCGAATCTATCTCGAAGCTTTTCAAACTGGCTCTGAATTACGACCTTGAGAAGGCTGGAGCTCTTGGGAAGTTCGTTTCTCTGTTCCCCTCTGAACTTCACAATCTCATCGAGTCTTGGGAGGATGCATTCGACAGGCGCGAGGCACTCAATAACATAGTTGTTCCCGCGACAGGAGTCGATGTTGAGTTCGACGAGTCTATGGCTACATTGAATAGCTTGGAGGGTCAATTAAACGAACATTTAAAAGCCTACAAGAAACAATTCAAGTCACATGAGATTTGCTACAGAGATTCAGGAAAAGAGCTTTTTTTGATTGAGATGCCAATAAAAATCAAGAACATTCCTAAGGACTGGCAACAGATGGCTGCCACTTCCAAAGTGAAGAGATATTGGTCACCAGAGGTAAAAAAATTAGTACGTGAGTTGATGGAACAAAAAGAGTTGCACAAGACCGTTTGTGAGAATTTGATCTCGAGGATGTACAGTCGCTTCGATGTAAACTACAAGACCTGGGTGCAAGTGATCAAGACTGTCGGAAATATAGATTGTTTGATTGCCTTGACTAAAACTTCCGAAACGATTGGTTATCCATCTTGCAGACCTAAATTCGTATCTGGAACAAGCGGGGCCCTTTCATTTTCAGAATTGAGACACCCCTGCTTTGTTGGTGCGAATGATTTCATTCCCAACGATGTTAAATTGGGAGGTGAATATGCTAACTTTGGGTTGTTAACAGGTGCAAATGCTGCTGGTAAGTCAACACTTATGAGAACAACTGCGTTGGCTGTAATTTTGAGTCAAATTGGATGTTATTTGCCAGCTTCAGAAGCGGTATTGACCCCAATTGATAAGATCATGACTCGTCTCGGAGCTAACGATAACATCATGCAAGGAAAATCCACATTCTTTGTTGAGTTGTCTGAAACGAAGAAGATTTTGAGTAATGCAACATCAAACTCTCTCGTCATCCTTGACGAATTGGGAAGAGGTGGGTCTTCTAGTGATGGATATGCCATAGCAGAGTCGGTTTTGCATCACTTAGCATCGCATGTGCAGCCTCTTGGTTTTTTTGCTACACATTATGGCAGTCTCGGCCTTTCTTTTATTAACCATCCTCAAATCAGACCTTTGAGGATGGGAATCGTTGTTGATCAAACCTCCAGAAACATTACGTTTTTGTACAAATTAGAGGATGGATGTGCGCCAGGTTCGTTTGGTATGAATGTTGCTGCAATGTGTGGAATTCCCACAGAAATCGTAGAGAAGGCAGAGGGTGCAGCAAAAGAATACGAACAAACGTCCAAATTGAAGGATATGCACGAGAAGCAAAAGACGCAAAGGCTATCTATTGGTTTACAGAGCGACTTCGTTTGGCTTTATGCGAAATACGAGCAACTTGAGAAGGACATTTTGCGCTACGAAGAACAAGAGAAGCAGTCTGCGCTCAGCAGTCTTTTCAAAACTATCGAAGGTCTTTGAAAAATCACGTTATGCAGCGAAGTAACCTAGAACAATACACGGACTTTTCGGTCGCGCGATAAATAGAAACATTCCGCTCTTTAAGAACACTTTTCTTGAACTACCATTTATCATACCAATTGTGTTAGTCATGCTTACCAAAACCGCCTCTGTTAAAAGCGCTGTTCATCTTCTCCTTTTCTCTGTTGCTCTTGGTGGAGGAGTGATGCACTCATATATTGTTTCTCCAATTGCCTTTAAGTATTTGAAAAGGGAGGAGTTCAGTAACTTGCAGAACAAGGTATTTCCAATCTACTTTGCAGGTCAAACTGCAATTCCTATATTGATAGGTTTGTCATCACCATTGATCTCCAGTCCTTCCAAGTATTTTTTGGCTGCGTCTGCGTTTACTGGTCTTTTGAACCTTGTGTGGGTCTTGCCCAAGTGCAAAAGCATCAAAGAAGCAAGAAACAAACTAGTTTCTGAAAAGAAGCATGAAATTACTATTGAAGGCGAAACTAAGGTCACAGAAGAAATGGCCGCATTGAACAAACAATTTGGAATGTACCATGGGTTTTCATCATTGTTCAATTTAGTATCTTTAGTCACTCTTGGCGCGTACGGAGTCGCTTTCCTGAAGGCAATCTTGGTTTGAGATTGTATCCCCTTGAATAAATTGCCATTGGTTAAATTCGAACGTTAATGTTCGCTTGTTTTGTTGTATTCTCATGTATATATATCTTGCTATTGTGTTTTCTTATCTTGCAGAACTTTTTTGTAGATCTTAGGGTACACAAATTTCACTAATATAGTAATACTGGCGATAGAAGTAACACCCAAAGTCCCAAAGTATGTCACAAGCGTAGATGTAGAAAGATCTCTGTGGATGACCATTTGCCTCATAATCCATGCATAATGGAAAAGAATGATGATAACAACAACAAAACTGGCGCCAGCAAATTGCATGTCCCGAACATTTTCGTCGCTCAAGTTAAGCAACACAAGCGGTTCATTCTTCTTGCTATGCTTTGGGGTATTGGAAGAAGACATGTATCACTTCGCCAATTTTTCACCTACTCCTGATTTTCCGCGACTACAATTTCATTGCGCTCGTTATTCGTTACAAATAAATAGAAAATAAATACAGAATTTTTTTTTCTTCGGTGCTCAACTCAGCCTCTCTACTAGAGAGCAAGGATCCGCGTTTCATCGTCAATCAAAAACTTGCGTACTTGACTAAGACTCTCACTTAGCTTCTTGAAAATGCAGATCTTGATGTTAGACTCGTACAAATGACGCAACATCAACTCTCCAATTTTCAAAATGTAAAGCGACTTTTCCAAACTGTGGGCAAAGTAATTGTGGTTTCCAAGGAGCCCATTGATATCTGCCTCGTTCCCTCCATGATTGGTTCCGTGGTTTGCGAATACATCTTCACTCTTAAACGAAGAGTATAGATAAAGATTAGCAATTTCCTGTTCCGATTTCGTGTTTCGAAAACTTTCTTGCAAAAATCCTTCAACCTTAGACAATAATTGCAATACGAGAATATACCGCTGATTTAATTGTTTGATGTCGCTTGTAGGGTTATCTCTGGTAGTTCTCAACTCTGACTGGTTGCGCTTCGCGATCTGGATAGCAAATATAGATAAGATGATAAAGACATGGAACAACATTTGTGAATGAATTGAGTTTTTAGAAAAATCAACTTCGTCATAAACTTTCCAGTTAACCAATTTCTCAAAATTGGCACTGGTATTGAACTGATGCTGCAATGAACTCGTGAGCATATTGTTAAATTCATTCGGTCCACTCTTTGAGAGGAACAAAAGTTCGTTTTCAAACAAAACAGGACGATCCGGATTCGTTTCGAAATTCTCGCCCCGTTCTGTCTTGAATAAAAGAAGCTTCATCACCACAATGCAACAATCAATGACTCTCATGTATTGGTAATCTTCAATTTGCTCCATCGATTTGAGGAAATTATAGTAGTTCTTAGTGAGTTCTTCATAGTTTCGTAACCAGCTTTGTTCCTTCACCAACTTGAAATCGATAACAGCACATATTTTGGTGAAGTTTACCAATAATACATAATCTAGCTTTTGATAGTCGCCCGAGTAACTTGCGAATGAGCATACTTCGCTATTATTCCTCGAGTTGTCAATAAATAGTGTCAAGTTGTCCAAGATGGAAAAAACGTCGATATTTTTCATTTCTTCGTATTGCTTAATCTCAAAAATGCCATGGACGAGGGAAGAGAATCCATACTTGCTCAAGGTAGAAATATGAGTAACGAGAGACGGGTCAAACTCACTCTTCGAGAGCTTGAACAAGACCTCTTTGAACAATATCTTGTCACTTTCACTGTGATTCAAGTAGAAGTCCAAGTCATTTTTGCTGCCCACTGAATGTGCATAGTCATCAAAATCCTTATAAGACGAGAAGTTCCACAAGAATTCATCATAAATATTAGGGCATGTCAAAGAACCGAAATCGTTCACGCTTAAAGTGAGAGGCACGTTGTACATCATCAAAAGAAAGTTTGTAAGCTTGTAGATCATGAAAACAATGCGGATCTGAGATTGATTGTTGATGTAACTCTTGAATTTCGCATCCTGATGCGCTGCCCTGAGTTCACCAGGACTACTTCCTGTTTCTTCGTTGACGGAGAAAAGAGTAGTGCGGTTGCTCTTGATGGATGTTTTAACCAACGAGTTCAATGCGTTGAGTTGACGAATCACAATGTATACATTGTTCTCATTGTCGGAGAATAAGCCATAGATCACAGACAAAGTAAGAGATTGGATTAACCAGAGCGGGTTGACGGCCAGCGTATGACCCGACTGATCTGAAACCGTATTCTTTCTGTTCTCCAAGTAGATATGGATCGTACGGCGTGATGCCTCATATAAATGCTCCGAATCGTTTTTATTATTTGCCATCAAGGCACCAATGGTAGCCACCAACAAAGGCAAGCAAACTACTGCACTCTCTGTAGAAGACAGTTCACCCGCAGTCATGCGCATCATTTCGTATTCGTTCAACTTGGATGGGTGGATGAAGGGGAAGTGAGCCAGAAACACATTGTTGAAGTTGACCAAGAAAAACTCCAACTTCTCATTAGACGGGATCGTAGGTGTCATGATGCCGCTTATTGGATACTTGGAGAGCGCTTTATTGATCAATAAGCGCATGTTTTTAGTGAAAAGACGAGTCCTGTTATATCCTGGTTGCGATACCACTCGCCCGAGTTGCGAAGGCAGCATTGAATCTGAAGAAACGGACACGCTATCGCCATAAAAGGAGTAGCCATTGGGCAAAAACTTCGACCCGACATCAAAGTCCTGCGTAAGCTCATCAATGTCGTTTAAGAAATCAAGGTCAAAGTTTACTCCCTCTGTCACAGTGGCTGGAAGAAGCATATTGGTTGGATCGCACGTGAGATCACCATCTTCATCTTCTTGGCGGATAGGGGAGAGCGGACGTGTGGATTTGGCAAAGTGGCCAGTATCGGGCACATCATAGAAAGAATAACCAAAGTCGGGTTCGTCAAAACCGCGATTTTGGTTCATAGAGAAGGGTGGAGCAGCGTCATTGGAACCAAAGGATGCTGCAGAAGCCACAGAATCGGACCGCATTATCATGTCGTAGCGGTCGGAGCGCATAGTGTCTCTGGCCAATGCTTCACCGTTAATGCTCCCGTCTCGTGCCATGCTTCCGTCCCTAGACATGCTTCTATCTCTCAACAAGCTGATGTCTCTTAGCAAGCCCCCTTCTCTCAACAAACCTTCGCCATTTCTTTCACGTTTTTCCATTCCAGGAATAGTGGACAAGCTGCCCAACCAGCTGTCATCGCCAGTTGGGAGAAGTTGTGGCGTGGAAAACTCGACAGAATCTGGCGCATATGCTTCAGCATTGGCGTAGTTGCCACCTGACTGTGCAGAAAACGAGGCACCACGACCACGCAGTGACATGCGACGCTTAATGTCGCGCCGCTCGTCGAAAGAAGCCAAGTTGAAGTGGATCTCAGGCTCAGGCTCATGTTCAGGCTCTTGCAGAGGCTCTTCAGGCTCTACACTCGCATCAGCACGCAGCTTCCGCCTCAAACGACTCACAGCATCAGCACAGCCAGCGTGCAACTTCTGAGCGTGCCGAAGAAGTAAATCCCGCCGTGAAAACTTGCGCTGGCATACGCTACAAGTAAAGGGTTTTTCCTTGGTGTGTGACCGCTCGTGACGGCGCAAATGCTCCAAGCGGGCAAAAGCTCTCGTACATGTGGTGCACACGAATAGCCGAGGCTTGCCTGACGGAGTAGTGCCATGGGCAGTGAGTTCTTTAGGGATACGCTTACGCGGAGGGGACTCCGAGTCCAGTGCGTCCACGCGGGGAAGATCCACAGGCATGAACGGGAGCAGCGACGTCATAACCAGAGCACTAGAGTGTGGAGCACTAGTACTGGAGAGAATGATCAGGGGACTAATTTTAGAGGAGTACCGGGTACTATGAGGACTTGCGGAATGCGGGTACTATAGCGTACCGATGTACTGCCAACAACTGTAGCAGAAAAGATTGTGTGTTTGGTCCGTAATACCGGGTGCCAAAGAATCGACCGTTTTGAGGATAAAACACCAGTGGCAAGTACCTTGGCCAGGTTGTGCTATCGCCAGTCGTATAAGTCGTATAGCACGACGAAAATCACCTATTCAACACTTATACCAGCGTCACGAGTGGCGGATAAATCAACTGTTTAACGCACGTATAGTGACCGAAACAGAGGTGGCGAAAAACTGTAATGTCTCGTGTTGCAGTTTAGCAAGCAGTTTCACACAAACCGGTAGCGCAAACACTCTAATGCAACACTCCAAGTTCTTTTCAAGTCAGAGGGACGCTAGGATGTATATCGTGGGTATGTTCAAATTACCAGTAGCCGCAGCAAGATTAGGCAATGTAGTAGGTCAGACAAGAATGAATTCTGCTGATTAAAAGAAACAGAGTTGGAAATCCGGGGAATTTTTCTCGCTTGGGGCCAGACGCACATTGGTCATAGTAAACCCTGCAGACAGGAAAAGCGGACCGAACTCCGGTGGCCACGAAAACAAGCCTTTTGCCTTTGGTTCCAATTTCTTCGAGCAAGGAAAAGGCTTGGATCGACTCTTTCTACACTTTTTGCTTTTTCTCCGTCCTTTTTTCGTCCATTTGGACGCGTTTGCTACGTCTGGTGGATATTCCACCTAAAGGCGCACTATGTGCTACGTTGTGCTCGAGCGCCGCACAAATGACCAATGAACAACAAGGTTGGGCGGATATTCAAATCCGTACATTTCTGCTGGTGCCTTTTCGATCCTCCCCACCCAACGATTAACCCAAACGGCGCTTTTTTTGCTCTGCTCTGTCCTTTGCCGTGGGAAGTTGTGCATGACGATACCCCACTTTTCAACATGAAATGTGCAGGATCCGGGGCCTTGCGTCATTAGCGCAAATGCGCGCCTCAGGTCAAGAGCCTTTTCCATGGGCTCTGATATCAGAACTGCTAAACCTTATCAATCACATTGTTCGCTGTTTATTGTCCACAAGGAGGATCCTTGGTAGAATTGTAACTCTTTTACTATTTTAAAATGTTTTTTTTCCAACTTGTTGGCATTTGCTAACGTCATACTGAAGCGGGTTTCTCCGTGGTCCTAACACTCATGCCCAGATGGCATTTCTGCGCGTTGGGTGAAACCCCATCGTCCCTACACACAGGACACACTTGTGTCCAACAAAGTTCAGGCTCTGCCTATTGTTTGATCTTGACCAACCAAGCATCTCGAAACAAACAACACGCTTTGCCACCCCGAAGAACAAACGGGAGGCAAGACCGGATGCAAGAAAGGGCACGTGACATATCACGTGCTCTTACATCGAGAGTATTTTCCACCTCCCGCTTCTCTGATTGCACGTGACTCCAAACCATTCCATCTTCTTCCCCAATGTCAGTCATAGAAATCGAGTCGGAGGAGCAGTTTACTCAGCTTACGAAAACTGATCCAGACCAGTTGGTCACTTTATACTTCCACACCCCATGGGCTGCGCCATGCCAGACCATGAACTCTGTCATCAAAACTTTGGCCAATGCTAACCCTTCGGTCACTTTTCTTTCCATCAATGCAGACGACCAGCTGGAAATCAGCGAGTTGTTTGAAGTTTCTGCTGTGCCTTACTTCATTTTGATTCGTAACTCAACCATCTTGAAGGAAATGAGTGGTGCTGACCCAAAGGAATTGATTGCCGCTTTGAATGAGTTTTCCAGTGGTGGCAAGGCACCCTCTGCGGAAGAAAAAGGGCCTGCCGCCGCTTCGGCCCCTCCAACAGCAACAAACGAATCCCAGGCTCCCGAAGATCTCAACGAACGTTTGCAAAAATTGACCTCCGCAGCTCCTGTGATGCTTTTCATGAAGGGTTCCCCTTCCGCTCCACAATGTGGGTTTTCCCGCCAATTGGTGGCCATATTGAGAGAGCACCAAGTGAGATTCGGCTTCTTTGATATTTTGAAGGATGACTCTGTGCGTCAAGGATTGAAAACATTTTCTGATTGGCCCACATTCCCACAGTTGTACATCAACGGCGAATTCCAGGGAGGATTAGATATCATCAAAGAGCTGCTTGAAGATGACCCCGAGTTTTTCGAAAAGGCAGTCTCAGCATGATTTCTGTCTGTTATCTAGAATATCTATAATTTTTAATTTATCTCGTGACATATTGTAGAAAGAGCCACATTGGAGATGACAGCAGTGAGGTATGTACTCATATCTTACAATCTTGAAGTCCTTCTGACATTCTCCAATCCGATTTTAGAGCCAAGAAGAGTGACTTGAATGCACCATTTCAGCGTCATTTTTCTTTAAGTTCTTCTGAAGAGTTACATTAACTGCTCCCATAGTCTCGTCAAGTTAACGAGTCTTATATCTATATATATACCATTATGTAGCCACCAACCTAGTGCCAAATTACCATCCTGTTGAAAAACTTCTTTTTCTTATCACAATCTCCCTTGTGACACAAGCATCTCCAACTGCAAATCATCCAGGAAATCCAGCGAATTATCGAGATCCGTTATCTTCTCTTCCGAGTCTATCGTTGTTGTTGCGTTTCTAATTGCCATTTTTTTCTCAGTTGTACTCACTTTCTGGTCAACGCCGACATTTTTATCTATCCGATGTCTTTCCGATGTGAACGTTCTATTCTGATTCTTTAAAATCATATCATCGAGGTCATCATTGAGTTCGTCATCTGAATTTTCGATGTCTTCACTCATACTATCCTCTTCTTCATCTCCTTCTTGACCAATCTTCTCTGCAATAACAACTTGAAATTGATCCGTTGCGCCAGAAACTGCATCTTTGTCACTTTCCAAGACAGGTAAATCTCCGTCTGCATAAAGAGGCTTGAAGCTTCCACCAAGACGATTATAGTTGTATCTGTTAGTTCCATATCGAAGTTTATACTGGAAACTGTTATATATGGCCGGAAGCAAGAATCCATCATACAAGTTTGCTGTTTGAAACAGTACGTATGGTCGTCCGATATATCTCACGTAGTCCAGAATGTCCCTTTGAACTTTATTAGCCTCCCGAAGCATCTTGAAATGGCGTGGGAACTTCATGGGTTGTGTCTTACCTGGGGTTTCACCCACGGACCGAAGCTCACTCCTAACAGCTCTAAGTCCAAAATCCTGTATCGATTCAGGAAAAGTATCATTGAGACTCAACTTATCAACTATTTTTGCTGCCACAGAAATGTCAAACTGCAGATCGTTGTAAACAGCGTAGTTCTCCAATAAGGCAAGATGCAAGAGCCCGATGTTATTGTAGCCGTCAAATACCTCTTGGATCGATAAGTAGTCATTTGTATCCTCATCTAAACCAGCAAACTTAGAGCTCGAATGGATCACTTTACCTATGGCATGGAAGAGCGAAATATGGTTTTCTCTAACCAGAGCAGACACTTTCATGAACAGAGGCAGCATGGCCCAAAACTGTAGATTGCATATCAGAGAGCGTATATCACCGCTTTCATACATGGGCTGGAATACTTGATCAGTGAGGCTGGGCGGAATTCGCAACTTCTCGCTAGCCACAATGTGTCCAAGAGTTTTCTTTAAGAACGTCTTTGCGACGGGAAGGACTTTGATTCTTTGAACGAGCCCGCTCGCTATCGTTGTCCTTAGTAGTTCAGATCCAAGTAGAGTTTCCAACGTCAAATTATTTTCAATGTTATAAAAACTTTTGTTTCTGTCTTCACTTTGAATTTCCACCTCCGTCAAACAAAGTACAAGAGGGGGCAATTCAGCACTAGAGTAAATCCACAGTGCCAAACTTCGACGGAAAGATTCCAAAGTTTTTGGATGGAAAACGTTAGGTAACTCTTCGATCAAAATCACAGCCAAGTTCAGTCCAACTCTATATCTGCAACCATCGAGAAAATCAGAAAAGTGATCAGGCTGTGGGATGTTAAGAAGCTCTGACTCCAGGTATTCCACTACCTCCAGATCGGCTGTCTCCAGAAAGTCCTGTGCACTTTGTCTTTTCCCGATTTTCCCACCCACCAACTCTTTGGATAGACACTTGACCAATGTAGATTTGGATGACCCTGATGGCCCAGTAAGCGCAAGAAAACGCACACGCAGTTCTCCATTGATCATAGAACCCAAAGCGTCCCTAATTTCCTTTGCTTTGCGGGGATTAATACACACCTGACTCGATGAAGTAGGCCGATATTTTTCTGTCCATTGTAATTCTTCAGATGGTTTGGGCGGCAATTTTATCTTTTTCGGAGGCGGGAACGCTATTGGGTCTTCTGAAATTTCATCCAATTCTTCACTAAGGCTATCATCTTCCACATATATTGGCGTTTTCTTTCGCCTAGGACCCATCAATAATCTGTTCAAAGTTTGCGCGCACAGAACTGTCATATCATACTATTATATTATGAGAATTCTCTACAGTCAGGATAGATGATATCGTATAAATATATTCGTACTCATTAAATTTCGTTGAAAGACTCACTTACAAAATGGAACTTGGATGGCTCGGTTGAATGTTGTATGGCTCGGTTTGAAAACTCATTGACGAAGATAATCCGGCTGGTTGATTCCGGGGAAAAAGTGGCTGGGCCCTTTTCGATAGCATAGTTCAGCAGAGAAGCATGGAACAGAGATGGAGGAAGATGTGCCTCAATTTCAGAAGCAGAATACTGCCGATTGAAGCTCCTGTACTTGGTGACCAATTCCATGTTGAAAAACGGGTTGCTGTCTGTCTCATACCCTACGGGCAAAATGAGATTCTTATAGTGTACTTCAATAGAGTCAGACAACTGTGGGTACACCAGAACTTCTAGGGTGGATTCACTCCTATTATTGCGAGTAGCTAAACCACAGAATGTATTATTTGTCTGTCTTTTTGATCCTGTTGGAATGGTGAACTGAACCATGGAATTTGAATCAATGAACAGCGCTTCCATGGAATAGTGGCTAGTGGGATCTGGAATGCTTCTGTGTTGCTTGCACACTTTTTTGTTGAAATCGAACCCTCCAGCCAAGGCACATGTGCCATGGAAAGACCGAGTGCATTTAGGTGAAGTGCATTGGAAACAAGCCCCTTGGGATGGAGATTTCACAGACTGCAGAATCTTATTGCGAGTGTGGCATACTAGACATTTCAAGTTTCTTTGTGGCCGTGTAATGTTACTAAAGCCCTTGACCACATCTCTCCACAAGTTGTCTAAAAAAACTTTTTCGAACACCAACTGATCTGGAAACATTTCAGCGCACAAACGGTGCACTTCCAATGGCTTTTTTGTGGCGTAATCGAACATATCCGTTTGAAGAAGCTCAAAAGGTTTGAATTTTGTGAGTTCTATATCGAGGTCATTTGGACATAATAGACATTGATGAGTGACTGCTTCGACTTTTTGCCTCTTCCGCCCTGGTATTTTCTTGGTAGGTACTTCTGACGGCGAACGTGACAACTGTTTCAGTGGCTTGTACACTTCCGAATCATATGGAATTCCCTTAAATCTGCAAAAAAGCATTCGATGATTGATGGCCACAGCATCAGTTATACATTCACATTTCTGCGTTTTCTCTGCGAAAGGAAACCAGTCGTCTAATGCAAAGTTCACAGATTCCGCCAAGTTGAATCCGAAATTAAATCCGGCATGGTAGCCGTACGGATAAGTTATCATAAACTCTCCTTGTTTATGTACTATCTTGTTGCAAGTTATTCCGTGTTTTGCAAGAAACTGTGGCGATGCGAGAAATGTCTTGTGTCGGAGAAACTCGTGGCACTGTTTGTAATCTTCTGCAAATATTTCCTTCATTAAAGTGTAGAACTTCTTATGCTCCCGCTGCGGAATAGAATACCATTGTTTGGGAGCCCCAAAGTGAAGGTAGTTGATGGAGTAGAGGTCCTGGTCTTCCAAATGCCAAGAGAAACTAGCCTTCCACAAACCCGCGTACAAGTAAGCGTCATTCACACCGGGAATCTTTTCCTCCATCAAATCTAGCACATTGGGAAGATGTGCCACATTCCAGGCCTTAGTAGATTCTAAGAAAAGCGATCCCAACATGTCTGCACCATACATTGGTTCGGCGTAGCCAAGTGATCTCCAGTAGAGCTGTTCCAACTCTTCACACCGCTCATTGGTGAACTCAGACGTGTCAATGTTGAAGTCTCCCTGCAAGAAGTTTGCAGCAGGTTTCAGAGACGACTTGCTTCGCAATGAATAGCCTTCTTTTTGTGTCAGTTTGTTTTCCGCAGAAGGCAGCCCACGCCTGGTCTTTTTGTGGGCTGGTGGAACATAGTTTGGTTTTTGTGAAATGCTTTTCCATTGATAGATGTCATACAGACGCTGGCGCTCGACATTTTGCAGCGAATAGACGCCTTGGTGGCCTGGCGTTACGTTCATATTCTGGATGATTGGGTTCTTTATCCTGATGCGTGCAAGGTTTTTTGGTGTATAAGTACCACGCAACAGCTCCGTCCACTCAGGTGGTGGAATGATCTTGACTATTCCTGACTGCATTCCATACTTGTTGATGGCCTTGTTATATTGGTAGAAGTCTGTGAATTGGGCCATTGTAGGCTCAAACACAGGAACGCCATCACTGTAGAAAGCAGGCTCCACCTGAAGTTGCGGATCGCATTTATAGCGGCTCTCCATAGTGACAGGTGGTACGATGAGAAAAAAACCTATATGAAGAAGCCATCAACCTTCTGGTCGAAATGACGTGAGCTGATTATCGCGGAGTTCGGTCTAGGGCAATGTACAGGGGAATCCATGTGCAGCTCGCTTACAACGGTTATGTGTAGGCCCTGGATCGCCAGATGTGAATATCTCAAGCCTTGATTTTTGGCCCCCCGTACCTGCAACTTCATCGATATTCCAACACCAGATCAAAATGGCTCAGATAAAATACCAGAATAGGAAGCCACGCATTTCTAAGTCTAGAGCGGCCAAGGCCTCTTTTCTTACGGGTGCTATAGTGATCTTCGTCATAGTCTTCACCTATCATTTGGTGTGGGCCGTCAAAGCCCTCTATGGCAAACGGTTTGGAAGCACATTGAACACTGTGGTTATAGCTGTCGGAAGCCTTGTTGTCCACTTCGCAGCAACCACATCCTTTTTGATGTTCTTGGAAACTAGATGGTTGAGCAATCACATTGATGCTGACCACAAGAAATACATCTAGCATCCGGCGGGTTTTATAGATATCGCGTAGGGGAATACATGAGTTACTTATGTACACTGATATGTAAATATTGATAGAGGGGAATTAATTTTTGGAAACACGAATTTCGACGGAAAAGAAGACTAAGTACAACTTTCTGACCAAGTGTCAAGCTATATTCCATAACACAGAGAAAGGTCCTTTACAACAGCTTAGATACTTAAGTACTATTTTTGTAAAGTAATAATGATGAGGCTATGCTATTATAAAGGGCATTTCTACACAGACTGTGCATCTCCTGGATGCAATACTGGTGGAAGATCTTGTCCTGGGCTGGACGGAACTTGTAGTACAGATGCAGCAGAGGAACATCTTTCCCGTGTGATTTCGATGATACTTACATCTTCTTCGTCCTCCGAGTCCGGAATCACATCCCCCTCGCTTTCCTGCTGAAGTGTTTTTAAGATTATCCCCAGCAGAGGCGGTACAAGCAGAAATGTACCATGAAATGCGATAGTGGAGCGTGAAACATATGATTCGTCCTTCGATGGCGACCCGCCTGCGGGGGAATTTACTGTCGAAGAATGTGCATTTGCGGTGAGGAAAACTTCTTGGGAAATGGGACTTTCAGGAATAGGTGAGGACGTTATGACAAGGCTCTTTGGCCAAGGGCCGCTGTCTGCCTTCGGTTGCTTGAGTGGTGAGGAAACGATCTCCTGGTTTTCACTGTAAGGGCTTTCCGATTCTTTAGGAAATGTTGATGCAAATTGTATACTCGTAAGGACATCCACTGAGTCTGGTGCATCCATCTGCTGGTTTGAAAATATCTCATCTTTCTCTATTCTTTGTGCTGGTTCCAATGGTGTATCTCTCAGAAGATCGCCAATCAAATCGCACTCTGGTTCCGAGTCGGAAATCACGGATTCATTTTCCAGTTGCTGACTATCGGCAAAAACTTGAGAAAGCGTGAGAACAGCTGGGGCCATTTGCAGCGACGATTCCGGACCTTCGAACGTAGTATTATCTAAATGTTCATCATCCAAGTCATAAAGCCATTTCACATCCTCTGCTGAGAGATTGTCGCTAAGCTGACGGGAGGCTTGAGACCACATAGATTCCAGATTTTGCGTGGCTTCCGGTGTTTGTTCCCACTTCTGTAGCTCCTCAATTTTACGCGTAATAGATTTTGAGGTTCTTCTTGTGCCGTTGGGAAAAGGATGGAAACCTCAGTTGAATACCCTCTAACAACGATTTCCATTCATTTTCAGAGATCAAGTTCTCAGTGTGGTGGTCCTTGTTTGACCCTCTTTCAACCTTGTTTAAAATGCTATCCACTTTGGACTCATCGCCCGTGAAAAAATCAAGAATCTTCTTCGTGTTGACCTCTTTCTTAGAACCCAAAGTCTCGCAAACAAAGGCGCTTAGAGATGAAATAGGCTTCTCTTTTTTCAGTCTCGCCACGCTTCGCTTTTTCTTCTTCACCACTTTGAGTTGCGGAGGAGCGACTGTTTCGAGAGCATGTTTAAATTTACTTAGTTTGCTAAGCGTTTTTTCTCGCTGTTCATGGTCTTCGTGGCGAGCTTGGATTTGTGTCGATAAGAAATGTAGTGAAGGCTCTTCTTCATCCGCCTCCATTTCTAAATGGCAATATTATGCGTTGAAGATGATATAGAGTCGCGTTTACCCTCACGCGCGCATATAGAAAAGCGTTGTCTCGCGCAGATGATTTATTGATGAATAAATATATATATAATAAAAAAAACCTAATCCAGTTTCTGTTCCTCCTTGATTTCCCAAAGACCTTTCTTTTTGTTGTATACGGCCACCTCTTGGATGGTGTGTTTTAGTATACTTTTGGTGTATGTCTTAAATTCCTTCTTAGCCAATTCCGAGAGCGTACCGATGGAGAAATCATTATTCTCTTTGATAAACGCAACGAGCTTTTTGATAATTTCTGGCTCCTTGATTGTCGGCTTTTGAGGTGTGAGGATATTTGGAGTAGTAGAGGAAGTGGTATCCGTCTTCTGTGGGGTCCCAAGCTGTTTTAACGTGAGTGGTAGACTGTTTTGTTTCGGCGGAGCCAGTATACTCTTGTTACTACCCCAATAATCTTTGAATGGATTAATTGGGAAAGGTATATTCGCATCTAGTCGCTCATATTTGAGAGCGTCAAAGAACGCAAAAGTGGTGCTGGAACCATCATTCCAGTACGTAGTAGATTGAACAGTGTTTACTGGGATGCGTTTTTTGCTCGTGTCCCCATTTTCTTCAACAAAATCGTCCATGTCATCTTCTTCATTTATTTCGTCATCATCATCTTCTCCATCTTCCAACTCATCAATATCTTCACCATCCTCATCATCGCCATCCCAGTCCAAATCGGAATCATAATCATAATCAAATCCAGTTTTAGTCGTATCTAGGACATCAGTAGGTTCAATAATGGTTTTCAAATGCTTAACAGAACACCATGTGCCAATGTAAGGGGGTTTGGAGTTCTCATAAAACTGCAAATACTTTATTGGAGGTAAATGACTCACCAATTCCTGAATATCCTTTTCTGTAGCCAGAGGAGAATTGAGTGCTTGAACGAGCTGTTCTGAATTGGTGTATGTAAATTCCGTAGCCTTTTTCAGCAGCGAAATCAGACTCAAATCCATTTTAATCTCCATACTGAGGCCCTTATCGAACTCCAGTATCGACCGCAGAAGCTCATCTTGTAAGAGCTGAGGACTTGGAGCCATCACCACATTCTTTTTTATGAAAAAAGGTAGGAAATCCTTTTCGTACTGGGATGTAACTTGACAAGGGATATCTTGTTTCGAAGTCTCGGCATTTTGATGTTCGGTCTTTGGTTTGGTAGGAACCTGCTGCTTGATAGAAAAGAAACTGGAGATCTTCATTTGACTGCGCTCCTTCTGCTCCTCCTTCCGTTTCCTTTCTTCCTCCTTGGCTTTCCTTTCCAACTCCTTTTTGCGGCGTTCTTCATCCTTCCGTTTTCTTTCCTCTTCAACCTTCTTTCTCTTCTCTTCACGTCTCAAACGCTCTTCTTCACGTTTTTGCTCCTTTTCCTTCTCTATTTGTTCTCTTCTCAACTTCTTTTCCAACTCCTTACGTTCTCTCTCTTCCCTCTTGGCTTGTCGTTCTTGCTCCTTGCGTATTTCTCTTTCTAGTCTTTCAAGCTCGCGTTGCTTCTGTTTCTCCATTCTTTCAAGTTGTTTTTGAGAAGCGGTGGATAAAGGAGTAGCTACTGGTCCACCGAACACTGTAGTCATTGGTTCTTGCAGTAGATGAGGCAGACCAGGTGTCGAAAGACGAATTCTTTTTGTATCTGGTTCCTCGTTGATATCATTTTTCTCTGCTGATAGCTGGCCGATTGGAGCTTCGTGGTTAAGTGTGTAAGTTGGAAACTCCCCTGGAGTTGAATTGGGTGAAGGAAACATGCCTATACCCGAGCAAACAGATTGTTGGTGTTTAGATCTTGGTCAAACTACCGTGGACGCGTAAAATTCTTGAAACGCGCGCTCAGTGTGTTACACCATTTCAATGAAGCTACGAAGGAGCCATGGGGGCCCTCAAAGATTATATATTGTTATTGCGATCAAGCAAGTAATTCAATATATTGAGCAGAAGTAGAGATAGTATTAAATGAATCGTTAATCGTGGAATACTATACGAATACTAGCTAAAAAGTACGACACTGGTATCGATCACAGGAGGGAGCTTGTTCCGTACCGTTAAACGAATGAAGGATACTCGAAGTTATTCACTTGCATCACCTTGCTTGTGCTTTTGTAGTATACTTTTGCTTTATTGTATTTTTTTACATTACTCGTATCAAACTGTTTATTGAGGTCGAAACCCTGCGGAATTTACAAACTTATAACCTTCTGCCATGTTCCGAAATATCTGAAAATTTATACAGCTTCAATATGAAGCCGTTGATTAACAATACTATATATTGGACAAATTTATAGAGTAGAGAATGTATTGAAAAAATGCAAATAGCAATTCAAAAAGTCCATGCACTATTACCGTTTTCGGAAGAGGATGCACATAGACTGAGACCGTTATCTAAGATTACTTCAGGAATTGCACAACTTTTATTGCCAATGATCCGACGAGTCTCAGCATTGATCATCCCACCAATTGTCACGTTCGTTGTTAAGTGGACGCCGTCTTTTGTGTGGGTTCTTCTTGACTTTTTCTTGGACATTTGGCTCTTTTGGGTCCGCAAGCTATATTATTCCCACACAAGAAAGGACACTTTGAAAGAGAATGTGAAGATGCTAAAGAATGTCGAGACTTACGAAGAGTTTGTTCGTATTGTCACAGAGATTGATAGACTCACCAACATGGACTTGTGGAGAAAGAATTTTGTCTCCAAGCATTATGATTACATTCTCATCAATGATAGAATGGAACTTCTTCGTCAAGCTAGACTCAATAAAGATGCATCGTTTATCATGTCACTACTACGGTCTGGGCTCATACGGAACTTTGGAGGCATTGCTCAAAAGAGACTTTACACCAAATCGTATTTGGGAACGAAACTTAAGATCCAGGAATACATTGTGGAAGTGCTCGATTGTTTGAAATATCTTAACGACTCCATCGAAGCCGTGGGTGAAAATGATTATATTATGAATGGGAAGCAACTCAAAATTAATTTCTTCCAGGACGCTCGTCAGCTGTTTGGTTGCACAGCCTTGATTCTACAGGGTGGTTCATTGTTTGGTATTTGTCACTTAGGAGTAGTTAGGGCACTTTTTTTCAAGGGCTTACTCCCCAGAGTTATAGGTGGTAGCGCAGTTGGGGCAGCAGTTGCTTCTCTCGTATGCACCTTAACTAACAACGAGTTGATGCCGATCTTGGTATCCATTGTCGATGTTATGGGCGATGTCGATAAACTTAACCACGAGGTTGACGAGAGGTACGGAAATGTGATTGAAAACGTGGTTCGAAAGGGCTACTCCCAGGATATCCTAATTTTTCTTAAATTCGTTCGTGATACCATAGGCGATATGACATTCGAAGAAGCCTATTTGAAAACTCAAAGAATATTGAATATCGTTATTCATCCCTCCCACACAGCGGTTCCATCGCTACTTAACTATATAACTGCTCCTAATGTCATTATATGGACAGCTATTTACGCGTCCATCGGGAACCGGAGTCTTATCCGATGACGTCAAGCTTTATGTCAAGGATTTTAATGGTGAGATAGTTCCTATCGAGCCCGAATTGGATATTAAATTCTTGAAACCACAGGACGTTAATTACTCGCAACACTATTTCCGAGGCGTCAATGATAGAGGCGCAAGTACACCTCTGGGAAGCACACCATATACGCGGCTCACTGAATTATTCAATGTCAACCATTTTATAACTAATTTGGCGCGTCCATATCTAGCACCTGTTATCAGCAACGATATCAAGCATCATCATTCATATGGCAAAATTAAGACAGAGAAAACTGACGACACTGACTACACAATTGAATGGCTTCGACAGAAAGACACGCCAGGCATTGAAAAAACGATAAAGTCTCTGACTGTTTCCAAAAAGCTACCTAATGATTCGGGCTTCAACTATGCAAAACACTTGAAAAATGTATTGGGTCTCGAAGTCCAACACAGGCTTGAGGTAATGAATAAGCTTGGAATATTGCCAGATGTCATTAAAAGGCTATGTATTGACGAGAAACCCTCCACTGCACACCTTAGTTCCAGTTTGAGAGAAATAACTATTGTGCCAGAACTTCGCTACCTTGTGCGTGATTTTGGAAGAGTGTTCGATGTTGGCAAAACCAGGAAAAATATACCGTATTGGATTTTGGTAGGAGAAAGATCTGTTTGGCCGTTATTGCCTCTTATATGGGCCAGGTGCTCCATTGAGTTCGCACTAGATGATCTTTACAACCTCCATAGAAAGCACTAAGATTATTTTCGTACTCAACGAAAAAACAATTTGACTGTAGACTCTTTCGAAAGATGGTAGACGTATTCTTTCTCGACCACATATATGCTTGCACTGGTAGGCTTTGAACCTCTAGACACGGTTAGGCAACCTGTTATATCATTGGCTCGACCTGTTGATAGAGGCAGAATGTTGACGTTCAAAGACGAACGATGATACAACTTTATGTAAAAGTCTGTAATTTTAAACACTGGATCTTGCGGATTTTCATTTTCCATGTTGATCATCGGAGACTCTGCATTGATTGTAATAAATAGAGAGTTGCAAGCCTGGATGAGTTTCGAAACCCATCGCAAAATATCATTGCTGGTGGCATCTGTGGCTGCTAGGAGTATCTCTAAACCCTCAACGAAAACAACACAGTTCGACAGACCTTGCAGCACCACTTTGCTTAAAATATCTGTAAAGAGTGAAGCCAACTGTTGCTTGCAATTATCAGTTTTAGTGATTTTTTTGGTGAATAAGTCAGAGAAACAGTCAACAAATGTAAAGTTTTTGGAGCTGGCTAAATCGAGACCTTGCTTGCGACATGAGTTAATCACGAAATCAGCACTGTTGTGGAATGAAACGTATACTGCCAGTGTTCTGTTGTTCTTTTTGAGTACGAGATCTCTGTTCACCAGATTCGCTGTCCCAAGCAAAGCATTTTCAAGAAGAGTATTGAGTAGCCATGACGGATCAGTTCCTTCTCTATGTGATATCACTTGTAGCGTGTGTTCGTCGCCAGAAGGTGAACACGTTGATAACAAAGAATTATCGCTATAGAATACCAAGTCCTGTTGCTGTGACGCCATAATGAAGATATGAGATGAACCAACTCCATATGTAGGTTTTCTTGGTGTGCTATATACACACTACTTCATGTAAAATATCGCTAAGTAACATGTTGCATTAGAGAACTACACTTGTAGTTTTAGGTACTGTCTTTTCATCACATAGAAATACTCAGAAGTAGTTTGCAAGTATTTAAGTATTTAATGAGTGAGAATCCTGCTGCTCGCATATGCAACGAAATAGATAGTGTGACATTCGAGATTTCAGTCCTCCACAAATACTTTTCCCTTCCTAAATTGCCTAAGCAGGAACAAATTGCTAAAAGACCCTGTACATATTGATGTATTAATTCTTTCTGGCTACTAATTTCACTTCCGTGTCTGCGTTCAATTGAAAGGTGCGAAAGTATAGTAAAAGTACATGTAATACGAGTCCCAAGAAGTACAGTAAATCAAGCAACACGACAGCATATCCACCGTAGGAGAGCTACCCACAGTGTAAATTCTAAATGAAAAATTTCTCGTATAAGTGCAACCACGCACTTTAGCCGATTTGTAGGAGAATTCCGTTGCCACAGTAACAAACCATTGCCTGCAATTGCCCCATCTCCATTTAAACCCCACCATATTCAAAGAAACCGTACGTTCTAATTGGATAATACACAGAAGCAAAACGGAAAAAAAAAATAACGCCCGTTTTCCCCTGCATATCCTACTTGTGCAGATGGTGATGAAAGTTATCTGATTGGATCAGATACCCCGCTTTGCATGATATTTCCCAATACGTCGTAAAAGTTTTTTTTTTTTTTTCATTTTTTAACGTTCTATTTTTTTGCCACCTGAAAGATTCATGTCATAGTTGCCCTTTCTTTCTTGTAGAATCTCCTACTGAGCAAAATACATTGGTGTACGGCAAAGTTGAGTCGATCAGTACTCTCTTCTCTGTCATGTCATGTCAAAATCTTCAAACCTTAGGCGGCTTTTTAGAAATAACCTTTTGCACATTATAACTTAGCGCTTGCAGGAAAAAAACTAGTTTATTGGTTAGTTCTCGTCAGCAATATTGCCGTTTCGCTTTTAGATGGTTGTGCTTCCGATTCTTTTCCGATTTCCTTCCGTGCTTTTAAGATGAAGCCGTCTCCCGGTTCAAAGACGAGATCAAGACTTAATTGACGCTTTTCAGAATGCGTCTTTCTGTCATTTTATTTGGCTTATTGGCTTGGCAACCTCTATTTGTCTTGCGCTTCTACATTACGTTCATTATGGCGTCGGAGGAACG